CCCCAAAACCCCAAAACCCCAAAACCCCAAAACCCCTAATTTGAAATTATCATTGAATTTAGTTATAAATGTCTTCTTTCCGTTTCGATAGGCAACTTGGGCTATTCTTCTGAAACTGCATTGAATTATAAACTGAACTATTTCTAAAGTATTTACTAAAAGAGCTTACGTCAGATCAGTGCTTATCCTCTGTCTAGCAATGCTATTATGAGAGATCTTATGCTTCTTCGTATTCGGAATTCTATGATCCAATTTTATTTCTTGAATTAATAATTTTCTAGGCATTAAGCAAAGATAAGCGTACTTTCTAATGTTAGGGAAGCTGCCATCTTCTTGTCTAGAGGTGCTACGAGATGTATTCTTAATCCCTTTGAGTCTGCTATTAGCCATAATTCCTTCTCCTTCTAGTTTCTTCATGCTAGAATTATTGAACTCATCGATCTTTATAGGTTTTCTTTCTTTTCTTTTCGTCACAAGATTTAATTCAATATTCATCCTTGGCTTGTCACTCGGATTAGGAGTCTCTATTTGAACCGAGACTGGATTTGAATTTGAAGGATTAAGCTTCAAATTATCATTTAGCTCTTTATTTGGTAAAAACATTGAAGAGTTTAGCTGATTCCTCACCATTGACCTTTTAGTCTCACTTTTCTTGGAATTTGCTCACTTACATTTTCATTTTACCAGCTTTCGTATGGCATCTTCATTCATAAAAATTCCAGGATTGACTTGTTTATTTAATTTTATCTTGAAGGTTTTCCATCTCGTGATGCAGAGTGAATCAGTACTCCTGAACCTCTGCTACAGATTTGTTATTAACATCTCTTAAATTTTTGTCAGTCTTGGAAATGATTTCATGGATATCATTCATCTTGATATACATGCACTGAATTTCATGGTCAACTTGGTCAAGTCTCTCTCCGAAGATTTCAACGTAATCGATATTGCTCGACTCAATACTGGCTACCTCATCTAGTTCTCTTTCAGAGATCTTATGATAATTAAGCTTGCCCTTATTAGCTTCCATTTCACGAATAGCTCTTTGGGCTTCTTCTTGTTTTTGCTGCTGTTTTTGCTCTTCAGGACTTAAGGCATTACTAAATTCTTTCATCTGAAGATTTCCGTGCTCATCCATTTCAACTCTCTTAATAACTTCACTTTTGTTATTGATCGATTTAGGAGCTGGTTTTGCCCCTTCTGACTTCTTTTCACCATCTTTTGGTTTTGGCTTGAGTAGCTTCCTTTCGTTAATAATTTTGGTCAAGATCTCTAACTTATTACTAATCTGGTTCAGAATGTTGTCTCGGTGCCCATCTAAGTCTGGAGAACCTTCATCTTTGAGAAGGGTTTCATGTAGTTGGAGATAGACTTTGTGCTCGTAAACTTCTAACCTCTTTCTCTCCTTAGAGTTCACAATTTGAGTCAGAGTGTCTCATACAACCTAAATTTATGATATATTTTTACGTTTTGAGCCATTATAGGGACATATTTATCTGTAAAGTTTTCTGCAGCTACTAGCTTGTTAGAAAGCTTATCATGGTTAATTTTTATCCTTCTTGTCACCTCTTCATAGACTCCAACATGAGCTAAGAATGTTTTAAAGTTAACTTTATCTGCTTCGAGTTTAATTCAAAGGTCTTTAATGTGATTACATTTCAATGCCTAAATAGTATAGTCAAACATAATATGAGATAGCTTTTAAGTGATAAATTCCGTACCGTGACAGCCTGGAGTGCAGATACCTTACTGATCATAACCTTCTGGACATCAAGTTGCTTAAATCTCTGAGCCAATTCTTCATCAAGTTTAGCCTGTCTATCATTAAGCTCCTTAAATGAGTCATTTGTCCTCTTATTACAACCCTCGACTTCTGCGTTAGTTTGTTCTATTTCTTCCATAATTCTTGTTTCCAGCCCCTTCATGTTCTCTTTAAGTAAGCTTCATGTAGACTTTATTCCATCAAACTCAGTTTGCATGTTGGTAAAATTAAACCCAATTTCTTCATATTCTTTCTTCCTATTCTCAATCTTTTCTTCTATTTCAGCTAGATTCTTCTGTTCTTCAATTTTCATGTCTAGAATTAGGTAAGGGTGTTGAGAATTTAGAAAGAAATATGTTATTGTAACCAGATAGCAATATCTGAATGACCCTTGTTAGAATATAGTATGAGAGTTCTTTTGATAAATCACTCTCTTTATTACATAATCACAATTTGTTATAAACTCAAAGAAAGATTTTAGAGCATACCCAGAATCTTCTGCCTGATTTCAGAGAATTGGTCGTCGGCCTTTTCTTCAAAGACTGTTGCCTCGATAGCTTCTATTCTTGATTTGTGTCCATTGATAATCTTTTTAGTCTTAATAATATTCTCACGTTCGACTTGGAGCTTATCCAGCAGAGGCTGGATAAGCTCTATAATCAACTTGCGGGTATTTGTCTCGACTAGAAGGATTAAAAAGGGAAAAAGAGAAAATTAAGGATATGAGTTACTCTCGAACATGTCCATCCTATCAGCAGTTGGCTTTCGTTGAGGGACTTCGGTAAAATTCATTTTTAGTTATATTTTTAGTATGAAATTTTGTTAGGAATTGGGGTTTTGGGGTTTTGGGGTTTTGGGGTTTTGGGG